GACCTGCAAGGAACCACGCCTCCTGGTATTCAAGCCCCTGTGTACAATGGCTCTGGACTTAGTGCAGTGCTCTGGGCTTGCTTTGACCAATGGGACGTTGGCAAGGAGAGGCTTGATGAGCGCTTGCCCTCTTGGAACCCAGCTGCCATGTAAAGAAGCCCAGGCTAGACTACTGAAAGATGATAGAGAGAAGTCCCACCCTTTCAACCATCCCTGCCAAGACCCCAGATATATGGTCAAGGCCATCTTAGACCCTTCAGCCAACCCACGAGCTGAATGCAGCTATATGAGTGAGCTGTTTCCTTGCTCCTAAAACAATGCCTCATCTTTGTCTAGATGTTGTCATGTTAGGATGTGAAGGCAGAACTGCTGTAGCCATCTTTTGACCATGAGGGGAGCTTTTGGAGAACCAAACCAGCACAGTGAGGATGGAAAAGTGGAGAAAAAGAAAGAACCTGAGCCCTTGATGACATTATAGAGTTGCTGAATTAACTAACTAAGGAGCTGGTCAACTTCTGGACTTTTTATTATACGAGATGGCATATTTCCTCCTTGTTTAAGTTACTTTGAGTTGGGTCTTCTGTTACTTGCAGCTGAAGGCATTCTAACATTGCTTAATCAGCTCTACTGGTACAAGTACAAAACACCTGAAATGCCCTGCATAGTATGTAATAGACATTCAATAAGTTGGTCATTGCTTAGGAAGTAAAAGATTTTGTGGTAGAGACTGCTAGTTACTTACCCAACAACCATTCTCTTTTTCCTCCTCAATTATAGAACTCTGAGTTTTAGCTGAGCATAGTGCTGTCTAGAACAAAAGACAGTATTTCTCTACCTTCTTTGTATATAGATCTGGCCATGTGACTGAGTGCAGCCCAATAAGATGTAAGCAGGAGTGTTGTGTGGGAGGGCTGCTTCACAGGAGCTGACTCAACTGGAAGGAACCTTTTTTTTGCCCTTCTGCTTTTCATCTTGCTTCCCCCAACTTGGTTTCTCTAACTAGAGTTCCAGGCACCATTTTTGGCCATGAGCTGACCTTAAGGATGGAACTCAAGAGCTAGGATGGTCAAACAGAAAGACAAAAGCTTGGGGTCCTGATGACACAGTAGAGCTACCATAGCAGCTCTGGACTGCATGGCTTCGGATTTCTTGTCTATGAGAGAAAAATAAACCTCAATTTTGTTTAAGACACTATTATTTTGGCTTTTTCTCTTATATTCAGCCAAGTAAAATCCCAACTAATACAATCTCTTTAACAATTTTCCTTTTAAAATATTGAAGACTGGTATAGCAGAGTATATAGAGAGTATGAATAATGAGGAATCTCCCACCTGAGTGTTAAGCAAGCCCTTTTTGGATCCCTTTTTTCCAATCCCCTGAAGCAGCATTTGGGAGTCATTTTGCTGATGTCTTGGTTGAGGTTCTAGATTGCAAGTAATAGAATCCAATTCTGGCTAACTAAAGCAAAGGGAAATTTATCAGAAGGACATTAAGAGTCACTGAATTGGCAGGAGGCTGGAGAACTACCCTGGGAATGGACAGGAGTCTGGGCAACTCTGCAGTCCAGGAGTCAGAAATCTGTACTCTAGCAGCAGGAACAGCCTGCTCAGGTCACTGCCACTGCTGCTGGCCTTGCTGCCCCTGCTGTCATTGCATGTATGAGTGGTATCTAACTCATGCTCTCATCCTTGTGACTGTCACTCAGTAGCCAATGTCTCAGGATAGACTACGTGAGTTGAGGAGAGGGAACTTTTTAAAAGAAAACCAGGGTGTCATTATGATGGAGAAATGGAAACTGTGCAATCAAAAAATTATAAACATTCCATGTCCAGCAAGCCAGAGTCAGGTGAAGGAGAGTTGGCTGGCTGCAGCTGGGTGTCTAAGATCCCAATCCCTCTCATTTCCATGAAAGATATCCCTTCTCTGAGTGTAGTCTATTGTATTCCCTATTTTTGGCTTGGCCACCCTATTCTGATCTCCTGGCTTTCTGTCCTTGTTTTTTTCTTTGTTCTTTAAGGAATGATTGAATAGGAAAGTTAGAAAGGGATGGTACAGATCATCTATGTCAACCTCTTCATTTTCTAAATAGATACTAGGTTTCCCCAGATTTTGAATTCCGTGTTTCTGACTGTAGCTGGTATTGAGTGCAGATTGTGTCTTGTGAATCCTGGTGTTTGACCCTTACTGTACCTGATTCCTACTAACTTTTATGGGTTTAACTGTGTCCCCTCTAAAATTCATATATTGAAGTCCTAACTCCCAATACTTCAGAATGTGACCTTATTTGGAAATAGGGTTGTTGTAGATGTAATTAGTTAAGTTGAGGTCATACTGGAGTACGGGGGGCCTCTAATCCAATATGACTGGTATCCTTATAAAAAGGGGAAATTTGGACACAAAGACACATTCAGGGAGAATGCTACATGAAGAAGAAGGCAGAGATCAGGGTGATTCTTCTACAAATCAAGGAATGCTGAAGATTACCAGGAAACCACCAGAAGCTGGGGGAGAGGCATGGAACAGATTCTTTCTTACAACCCTCAGAAGGAACCAACATTGATCTTGGACTTCTAGCCTCTAGAACTGTGAGACAATAAATTACTGTTGTTTAAGCCATCCAGTTTGTGGTACTTTGTTATGGCAGCCCTAGCAATCTAATACGTTAATCTTCCTAGGTAAAATCCCTAATCTCTATTTATAGACACTTCTTCCTTCCTGTTCATGATACAAACACAATCTCCTCTTAGAGGTTAGAGAACTTTGTCAACAATCACTTGTAACTCTGCCTTCTCTCCCTCTCTTTATATTCAATTTCACACCAAATCTTAACTACCTTTTTGAAATGTCTATCCATTTCATTGCTACCACCCCAGGCCCGTTCTTTATCATCTCACAATTGAATTATTGTAACTGTTTCCTAAATTGTCTCCCTGATGTCAGTGTTATTTCCTTTATCCATTTTCTGTGTCTCTACCAGATTAATCCTTCAGCTTCCCCATACCAATAACCTCCAATCAGAGCATACCTGAAGTCTTTCCTTTTTTCTACTATAAAGCTTTCCCATTCCTCTGCCTGCCTTTGAGTCTCTATCAAAAGCAAATGAAGGTCACTGACTCTTGCTGTAGCAAACTCTGAATAAATAGCTTCTGTTCTCATTTGGTGGTCTTCATTTATTTCCACAGAATGAACAATCTATGGAGGAAAAAGGCAAGTTTTTTCTAGTGCGTTTTCTAACTTGGTGGGATGTAAGCCTAGAGCTGCAAGCGGCATCTTGGCTAATGTGTGGGAAAAGCCAGTCTAAGCACAACAGCAGTGTGGAAGTAAGCGGAGCAGGAGATGGAGGCAGGGAGAACAATCCTGATGATGCTGTTTGAGATCTTGGCTCCAGCTGTGGCTAAAGTCAGCTCTACTTCTGAACTTTTCAATTTCATGAGCCAATAAATTCCTGTCTTGCATTTGTTAGTTTGAGTTTCTGTGGCTTATATCCAAAAGAGTCCTGATGAATAAAATCTCTTTTTTAAGCCCTTCTCTCCCCCTTAAAATAAGAGGCCAGAGCTTTTTCTACAGTCAGGTGGTGATGCTTTGGTCACTGGTGACAAATTGAACCCTGGCCTAGAAAAGTTCACTTTTTCTAGATTGCTACTATACAATCTGCTGTGCCATCCCAAAGTTGGCCCCAAGGTTACAGCTTTTTAGTTCACATTGGCATGCTCAGCTACTGTTCTCCAAAGCAGGACATATCAGAGTGGCTGAACTGAGGGGTTTTCAGCCTTAGCCACACGCCATATTGAAACCAGCCCTTCCCACAGAACGATAGGCCCTTGTGTTGAGTCCTGTTTTCCAAACCTACTGCCCACCTCTTGGTAAATTCTCCTTGGTGAGGGGGTACTTAGCTTAACCCAGAAAAATTTTCTGAATTTCAAATCTTGGGAGTTTTGTTTCCTTCTCTACTAAAAGGCTCTGGGCTTCTATACAAATTAGTCCATTCCCCCTCCAGGGCTAGGCATACTAGGGAGTCTCTGGGAGTTGGTCAGTTTTTATCAAGTAACAAAACTTTCCCTTCCTCAAGACAAAAATATGCATTTATGTTTGCATACATAAAGAAGACTTTTAAGTGACTTTGTAGAATACAGAAAATCTGCTCCTAGATGACTTTATCTCTGCTTATTCAGAGAAGCAGATTCTATGGTTTAAAAAAAGTAAAAGGAAAAAAACCTGTTATTTCCCAGTACCCCACACACTGAACAATTTCTGCTTGTCAGGTTGGCCTCCTCTTTGTTTTGAAATCTCAGCTTCTATACCTTTGCACATGCTGTCCCTCAGCTTACTCGCTCCTTTCCCATTTTTGGAATCTTACAATCCAAGACCACACTGCTGACAAATTAACTATAAAATCATTTGCTCTCTCATTCTTTCATAAATATTAGTCTTTTCTCTTAACTAGTGTACACATTCTTTGAGGGCAGGAACCATACTTTCCTTGTATATTCTTTAGCACTTAGCATTTGATATATAATTGGTAAGTGAATGACTTAATGGATAATCAAATACGTTTTGCAACAATGGTACTTTCAATACTTGAATTTTCATACAGGTTGATACAACATAAGAGATTAAATCTTTTTGAAGTCTATAAAGATTGTCATTGTATACGTTATTAGCATTTTAATTTTTAAATATTTTTGTCATACATACGTTTTGAAAACTAGATTTTATTTTTGTTTAACAATCAGAAAAAAGAATATTCTTTCACACATTTCTAAAATTAGTATTTGGAAATTTTACATTTAAGTTAACTTTAATATTTTAAAAAAGATTTTGAACTCTCTACCCAAAACTTAAACTATAGAAGTCATGCTACCTTTATAACCTAAAATTGTAAAGTTCCTAATTACCTTCTTCATCTTCCCAGTAAAATATGTAGGTATCAGAAATACAGTTTTTAAAAGTAATTTCAGCTTGTCAAAAAGTCAAATGATTTAAAATTTAGCTTAATTTAATGTTTCTTTTCTGTTGCTATAAAGGTGAATGTACAGTTTGACACTGTAAATACAAAAAGCTTTTTTGTGTGTCCTGTAAACATTCTTCCTTTAAACATCTCCCTCCTTTGAAAGTATATTCACCTCTGTAAGTGTTTAAGGGGAAATTGTAGGAGAATGGGACATTTCTGAGCTCTTAGATTTTCCATCTGTTTAGTGGCTCACTTTGGAAAGCTGAAGTGAGGGAATCAAGAACCTCTTCCCCAACTAGTTTTCAATAGGTTTATTCATTCATATACATATATATATTCCTGAACTGACATACAATGTATAGTCATTATAAATCAGGGACTTGTAAGATAAATATAAGATTTAAATCTCTTTTGCTGACTTTCCTTTAACAACATGTGAAAAAAACAAACTCTTACTTCAAGATCTGAAATTTGAGGCTGCTTTTCCATTTCTTCAGCTCCTAATAAGCACTAAGAAGCAATTTGCATCAATTCACCACCTACTCCTTGGCATCACCAATTCCTCCAGCAGTGATTGCGAAGGTGGCTTCATTTTCAGGCATCTCAGGACTAACAGAATACAAGGAACAGAAGTTTATAAAGAGCTCTATTTCTATAAATACTATATTCATGTCACAAGCACCATACTCCTATCAGTCTGAGTCTCCAGAGACATCTCCGAGTTGGTACAGCTAAATGTGGAATACAGAATTTACCGACAAGTATTATCAACCCTCATAAACATTAACTGAACAATTTCTGTATGTAAAGTTCTGAATGTCAAGAAAAATTACCCCAAACTTGGAAATAGGCAAAAGGGATAACTGGGTGTTCTTTCAGTATACTGTCAGGCATTGTGTAGGACCTTTAGGGGTTTATCTGATTCTAAAGGGGTGTGCACCTTTCTCTTGACCAGACTAATGTAGGGGGAAACTGTGAAAGACTTTGAAATGAACTAAAAGATTACTGAGCACCTTCAGTGGAAAAATAGGTTGCCTAGCACATCCTTCCAGGTGTTACAATTCTATGAGGGCTCTGTGCCTTTCATCATCTTTGAGCTATTTTACAACTCTGTAAGTTGTAGAAAACTATGAGTTATACAAATTAGTCTTGTCCATAGAAATGTAAATTGTGTGAAGAGGAATGCAATTGATTATTGTCCTAAGGATATTGACCCATTTTTGATCAATTTATAATTCATTTCAGCATTCCTTATTTGACTACGTGTGTGTGGTAATTTGACTTTTCCTTTGATCTGGTTATAAAATCTTATTGGTTCCTGCATTAATTAATGAGTTAAATAAAATCTTTGACATTTTACAGATGGAGAAAGACAATTACCATATTATTTCACTCATGTGGAAGATAAGCAAACAAACACATAGATACAGAGACCAGATTGGTGGCTACCAGAGGGGAAGGAGTCGGGGGAGGGCGGAAGGGGTAAAGGGGCACATATGTATGGTGACAGATGGAAACTAGACTTTTGGTGGTGAACACATGCAGTTTATACAGAAGTCAAAATATAATGATGTATACCTGAAATTTATATAATGTTATACACCAATGTGACCTCAATAAAAAAAAATCTTTGACATTTTATATTTGTATGAGTCATGATTATATGCTCTTCTAAATTCTACCTTTTAATTTATTCTACCACTCTGTAGGAGTAGAGGTTAATTTGTAGAAAACTGATAGCAATACAGATGATTCCTGTCTGAGGGCAATGCAGAGGATTCCAGTCTATAGCAATAGATATGAATTTCATTGTGTAGAGAAGCAATTGATTTCCCTCCAGTAGAAAAGACAACTTCAAATGTTACCATTTATTGCCTGGTAGGATATTAACCAGTTTTGCATCTATTAGTAAATGTATTTCAGCATTCCTTTGATTGATTATATAAATCTCTGTTCCTCAAATTAGCCTTTGAATCAGTGATTTCTTCATTAATTAAGGAGTTGAATAAAATCTTTGACACATTAATTTTATATTTATTTGCAAGAAAGTCATTTTTTTAAACTTTTTGAAAATCATACTTTTGCATGTACTAGATCCTATAGATTGTACAAAAACGAGACAAAGTCCTTACTCTCAAGAAGTCCCCCAGGTGAGCTATGCCATATGACAAATATGCAAAGTAAGGTAAGTTTCATAAAGTCAGCATATATGTTATAGAACTCTAAAGAAAGGAGACATTATGCCAACTAGGTTGATTAGGAAAAGCTTCATAGATAATATCTGAAGAGGTCTTTGAGGCAGAAATGAGGGTATTTCAGGTAGAGGTAATAGCATGAACAAAAAAATGGGAATAGAGAAGCTTGTTTTGTGTATAAGAATAAGAAGTTAAGTTTAGCTATGTTGCGTTTGAGGTAGCTCTGGGACATTCATGTAGAGGAGTTCTGCAAACAGTTGGAAATGAATATCTAAAACGAGTAAAAGATTAGCTTAGAAATAGAAATTTGGAAATCACTGACCATGAAAGAAAGAGCCTACTGCTACTATGTGCTGTTATTATATTTAGGTTATGGTGACTGTATAGTAATAATAATAGCTTCCATTTATTAAGTATTTACTAATTACTATGTATTGGGCTCCCTTAATATTTTTTCATTTAAACTTTATGATAACCCTATTGGGTATGTATGTCTTATTAACCACATTTTACAGATGAGAAGATTGAGGTTCAGAGAGAAGTAATTTGACCAAGTTTACATTGCTGGGAAGTGAAGATGCCAGAATTAGAGACTAAGGTATTTGACTCCAAAGCTCATGTTCTTTTTTTTTTTTTAATTTTATTTTATTGTGGTCACATTGGTTTATAACATTGTATAAATTTCAAGTGTACATCATTATACTTCTATTTCTGCATAGATTACATCATATTCACCACCCAAATACTAATTACAATCCATCACCACACACGTGTGCCTAATCATCCCCTTCACCCTCCTCCCTGCTCTCTCCCCCTCCAGTAACCATCAATCCAATCTCTGTCTCTATGTGTTTGTTTGTTATTGTTTTTATCTTCTACTTAAGAGTGAGATCATACGGGATTTGATCTTCTCCCTCTGACTTATTTCATTTAGCATAATACCCTCAATGTCCATCCATGTTGTCCCAAATGGCTGGATTTCATCATTTCTTATGGCTGAGTAGTATTCCATTGTGTATATACACCACATCTTCTTTATCCATT